TTTTTTTTAAATCGACGACCAACAATCACAGCGGACGGGCCTAGAGGCTTCTCTAGTCTCAAGCGCATTGTAAAAAATTGTGTAAAATTGCAACTATTACGCTGGATAATTTTGAGATCCACTATAATAGTTGTAAACGTCCACACGTTTATAAATATGCAATATGCAAATAAAAATAATTTCTTGGTTTGGAGCTAAGCAGATTGTGGAAGTACAATTACAATGTGTACGTGTAGCTACAGGAACAATAATATGACAATACATTTCGCACTATATATTATTATACATTTAACAATACATTATGTAGTCCCACAGAAACGCGCGCCGAAAAATTTTCGGTCTTGAAACGCTAACTCTATTAAACTACCGCAGTAATATCATGAGTTAAATTAACTGGCTTCGGTAGTCTAAAGGCTTAGGACGCTCGCATAATAAAAACAAATTTACATAATTTTTGTGGAATTACATAATTTCTGTAAAATTGCATGATTTTTTATATTTACAGAACTAATCATGTAATTTATTTTACATTTATTATATGTATAAATTTGCGAAGTTTTTTTACAGTGTAAGCTTGTGTCGTATCATGTCCAATCATGTGCAAAGTAACGATAAAAGTAACTGTAAAATTTGTTACCGTTACCAAAAAAATGTAACTTCGTTACCGTTACAGTTACCAAAGAAAAAAAGTAACGCAGTTACTAGTAAAGTTACCAAAAAAGTAACTTGTAACTGTAACTTCGTTACAAGTAACGAGTTACTTCCATTCTCTGATTTTAAGACAGTGTCTTATGAGTTAAGTTTTATGTCTTTAGTAACGCACAAGAACTGCCTTATGACGTATGCCTTAAAGATTAGCATCTTAAGATATTACTTGAGACATTACTCAAAACGACTTTATAATAAGAACGGACTATGAATACCAGCTAATGTTACCTACGGAGTATTCGAAGAGTATAATTTCCCGACTGTACGCAAGCTACTACTTCAGCCAGAACATGATTAGACACCTGAGGCGTGTAATCTGTACCAATCTTTAAAGTCTGAAACTTAATACTGTTTAGAAAAAAAGTAGTTAATTTTAAAATATAATATGAGATACATACTTTGAAAGCAATAATATCATTAACTTGCGGTTTTCTAGTCATTATTGGAACCTTTTCTAGATCAGCATATAAATTTTTATAACTTTGTATTTCCTTCTTAGATTCTTTATTACATAAATTTTTTTCTGTACTATCTTCCATAATTTTGTTTAAATTTTTGCTTGTTGTCTCATCATTTAATACATTTTCCGTTTTAACTTCGTTTTTTAATTTTTTATTTATAAAGGTTATTGGCGTTGAGCTTTGTCCTAATGCTAAAAGTGTAGAAAGATCTCTAGAAGACGATGTTTCGTTTAAGTAAGAATGATTTCTAGATGCTTCTTGTACTGCTATTTGTCTTGCAATATTATGTTCATCATTTTCTATATTATCAAATCGTATATGTTTTCCCGGTGGAATAATATAGGAATCTATTATTTTTGGTTTCTTTAACTTTAACTCTTTTGATATGTTTTCTTCAATTCTATCAGAAGGCGATACAATAAACTGAGATCGATTTTTTGATTTTCGTTTTCGCACTCTTTTCCTTTTTGTAATAGATACAATTGAATCTATATCATTATTATAATTCTCTGTTAAATTATCTGTAGTTTTAGAATCTGTATCCCCTTCACTACAATTAACTACCGTATCACTGATTACACTATAGAATGTCATATCTTTTGTGGTATTATCTGAAATGAGAACAATTAATCGTATTATAAAACAAAAATTTCATTTTTTCTTCATTTATTTTTACATAGTACAGCATAAATAAAATGAATTAACTTATTGAAGTTGGTTGTATATTATTCAAGGTATCGTTAAATGTATTTTGTGCAACTATTTCCTGTTTTCCTGTTTTAATACTTGTTACTGTATGCAGGGCCTGCTTATCAAATATAGAAACATGGTTAGTTTCTACAACAGCCAGAGCTTCGTTATTTATTCCAGATCCAGGAACTACTCTGTAATTTATCAGATTATTAATAAAACTACATATAATTAATTTAATCAAACGCTGTCATGCATCGTCTAAAATATGCAGAGTAAGCTTGGTGTAAGGCTGATGTCACATTCAGCGGTTCATATGGCAGCGGAACAAAATTTAACCAATCGTAAAGTACTAATAGAAACAGATATCATACAGAAAATATAAAAGTACTTCGTGATTGGTTGAATTTTGTTCTGCTGTTGCATGAACCGCTCAATGTAAAGGCCCGTCTACAATACACGGAGTAAGAAGTAAGAGTAAGAAATTGACCAATCACAGTCGAATGTGAGAAGAATAATCGACTGTGATTGGTCAATTTCTTACTCTTACTTCTTACTTCGTGTATTGTAGACGACGCTTAACATCAGCCTTAGAAATAAGAGTAAGAAATTGACCAATCACAATCGAATATGAGAAGCATAATCGATGATTGGTCAATTTCATACTCTTATTTCTTAAGATAAATTTTCACGAGCTGCTCAAACCGGCTGTTTCTGCGACAAAAAGGATCACATGGTCAAAATTGACAAATATCAAACGTCCATTTTGATCATGTGATCCTTCTTGTCGCTGAAACAGCCGGTTAGAACAGCACGTGAAAATTTACCTTTGCACCAAGCTTATCCTGCATGTTGTAGGCGACAAATTATAAATCTAATGCGTCGTCCACAATATGCGAAGTAAATTTGGTAAAAAGAGTAAAAAAATTGACCTATGGCCGGTATTCATAGTCGGTTCTTATTTCAAGACCGTCTTAAGTAATGTCTTAAGTCGCTAATGCGGCCTTCTGATTGGTTCATGACATCTTAAGACTGTACTTAAGACGGTCTTAAATATAAGATCGGACTATGAATACCGGCCTAAGTAATGTCTTAAGACGCTAATGCAGCCCTCTGATTGGTTCGTGACTTCTTAAGATCGTATTTAAGACGGTCTTGAATATAAGATCAGGGGATCGATTCTGTAATTGATCGATCTTGAAACGAGGTAAAAATTACAAAAGTGAACAAATTTAGGTGTCGACCAATAAAATTATCAGTATTCTAGTAAATTCGCTCACTTTTGTAATTTTCACTTCGTTTCAAGATACAAAATCGATACCCAGGGCCCCTATTCTTGAAAAGTATCGGGAAGGCTCCGATTGCACACATTGCATGTTGCATACATGCGTCGCTAATTGGCCAATTTAAAAATAAAATATTCTCATTGGTAAAGCAGTGAAAAATTATTAGGCACCAGCTGATATGAGTGGTGTGTGCAATCGGGATTGTAGGCAAACGGAATCCTCCCAAAGTATCGCATACAAAAAACTAGGGAAATACTATAGTATATGTGACATATATTATAGTATTTCCCTAATTTTTCGTATGCGATACTTTTCAAGAATAGGGGCTTTGACTATGAATACTGGTCTTATGCTGGATTCACACTGCATCCGATTTGCGTCGTACAACACTCTTCAACCAATCAGAAAACAGGATTCCGATGGATTTTGCTTTGTATCATCGGAATCCTGTTTTCTGATTGGTTGCAGAGCGTCGTACGTAAATCGGATGCAGTGTGAATCCAGCATTAGGCCAGTATTCATAGTCAGATCTTATATTCAAGATCGTCTTAAGTACGGTCTTAAGAAGTCATGAACCAATCAGAAGGCTGCATTAGCGTCTTAAGATATTACTTAAGACGCTCTTGAAATAAGACTCGACTATGAATACCGGCCTTACTCTTATTTCTTATCTGCGCGCGCAAGGGAGGGAGAGAGAAGCTGAAGAGATGGGAGAGGAATCCTCCGCTAAATACGCATATATGTACACTCGCGGACAGGAATGCCTTTACATATTCAAGATGGATGCGTTACAATTTGTATACGGTTCGACAGTGTTCCGAAACGCATCCATCTTGAATGTGTAAAGACATTCCTGTCCGCGAGTGTACAGAATGATTGCAACACTTTTTTCAATAAGCGATTAATTTTTAAGCTGGAAACACAATAGACACAGGCAATAAGCACAGGCAACGAACCGTCCAATCAGAGCTTTGAGGTATAAGTTCGATATTATGGTGTCGGTCGTTTATTCTACCTGCTAAAGTCACTAGATTAACAAAGTACCGCGAACTGCCGTTTTGGCTCCATGACGCACGGTTATTCAAAATTTCAACCTCTTTCTCTGCGGTTTTTGCAATTTTCAACACAGCAACCGGGCACTTTCGATAATAATAGAATTAGTTTGTTCTTTTTCCCTTCGGGCCCTTGTATGGATTTCCGACCTTTTAAGAGCCACTTTCACAATCAGCCTAGTAACTGTAATGAAATAGAAAGAGATAGAAATAGTTCTATCTCTTTCTATTTCATTACAGTTACTAGGCTGGTTAAGTAAACCGACGATGGTGAAAGTGGCCCCAACAGAATCAGATTAGGGGTGTGTTCCGAGTCAGGGTGGAGTCCCATGAAGCGTGTTTGCCGCGTATCGCGTAACCGCGTAACCAATCAATAATCAGTAAAACGCGAAACCACAACAGCGGATCGCTTCTGATTGGTTACGCGGTTACGCGATACGCGGTAAATACACCTCATGGGACTCCAGCCTCACGCATGAAGCGCGTAGACCGCACAGAAAATCGTTCCAAATTAGCTATTGCGCGCTTCGAAAGTGCTACGAATTCCCCAGATTGTACTAACCGTACTGAATTCTTAGCACTCCTCCCAGCGCATTGACTGCTTCTCTTTTGACTTGAGGCAGTTGATGCGTCTAATGCATTCATGCAGTCTATGCGCTTCATGAGTAATTCGAAATGAATATTCGTGATACTGTGGCTCTTAAATGGATCGGAAATCTTTCTAAGAACTCTTATAAAAAGAAGAACATTGTATTATAGCGAAAAAGAAGTCGGAACAAATAACCTGAAACTTTGAAAATTGTTTATTTTATATTTTAATTAATTTTTATTTTATGTTAATTAATTACGAGTTTTTAAATTTAAAAGTCAATCTTTTCAAAATTTAATGTTACCCCGGTTACGTTATTATATTAAATACTTTTAACTAACAATTACAAATGTGTTATAAAATAATATAATATATTATATATATAATAACAATATAATGTAATAGTAATATAATATTATACACAGAGTGAGTCATTTTAATCGAACCAAACAAATATCTCGTAAAATATAGAAGATATGGAAAAATATTTCAGACAAAAGTTGTATGGTTTAGAACAGGACATAAGATAGAACCGTTGATTTGACTTTAGATAGTCGTTTGAAAGTTACGTGAAGGTCACCTTCAATTTCTTAACTGGAAACCCCTATTTTTCATTGCTCATTCTTGTAGCTTACCTCGAGAGCTTTCCAAAACACTACATCAAATATTTTTTCATTAAGTATTTCTCAAGTTATAAGGTTCGAATGTACTGCCAGCATTAACATTACCCAAGGTATCCGACAAGTAAAACCTCTTGAATGTTATTCAAAATGACTCGGATAACATTTATCAAGATCAAGGCCATTGAAGGTTGTACCTCTTTTTTCATTTTTACGTAGAATTATGTAATTTTTAAAGCAAAAATGAAAATAAGAGGAGCAATCTCCAATGACCTTGACCTTGAAAAATGTTATCCAAGTCATGATTCTGAACAACATTCAAAAGGTTTTACTCGTCGGATACCTTGGGTAATGTTAATGCCGGCAGTATACTGTAACATTCAAGTCTCATAACTTGAGAAGTGCTTAATGAAAAAATATTTGATTTAATGTTTTGGAAAGCACTCGAGGTAAGCTACAAGAATGAGCAATGAAAAATGGGGATTTCCATTTAAGAAATTGAAGATGACCTTCACGTGACTTTCAAACGACTATCCAAGGTCAAACCAATGGTTCCATCTTATGTTCCCCAATAAACCATACAACTTTTGTCTGAAACATTTTTTCGTATCTTCCATATTTATCGAGATATTTGCCTGATTCGATTAAAACGACTCACCCTGTATTATATACAGGGTGTTCCCAACTTTTTTACCAATCACTTTTATGTAGATAGAGCGGACTAAACTGAGTCGAAAAGTCCTCTACCATTTTGCAATTTTCACAGCAGTTAACAAGATATTAATTACTAAAAATTGCCAAATATTAGTCTTGAATAATTTTTTACTCAAATACCATGAACTTTATAGAAAAGCCGCAAAAGACAAAAATCATTTATTTTCTTCTCATAAAGTTCTGAGAATTTTTTCAGAATTGTTTAAGAATTTTTTAATACCGTATTTTCTCATGTTGGTAAAAATAAGAAAATGCACTACTAAAAAATTAATAAAAAATTCTGAAAACATTCTCAGAACTTTATGAGATGATTTTTGTCTCTTGCA